TGCTGGGCGCTGCTAGGACCCCGAAAGCATTGCTGGGCTGGGCTGGTGTGGGTAGGGCTGTGGGGACAAGACACTGCCTGCACCCATATGTTGCCTGCACCCATGGTGCGCTCACGAAGTGAGCAGGGATGAAGCGAGGCCATGTCAGGGGGTGGCAGGTCCCCGTTCACCATGTCCCCTTGTGTCCCCCCACCTGGTGTTAAGGATTAACAAACCCACCTCTACCTCACCCTTTGAAATCAGCTGTGGCCCTGTTTTCCAGAGAAAGGGCAGCACCCAGGCAAGAGCCATGCAAACCATGCCAGGCATGGGGCACTGCCTGCCCAGCACGGAGACCCAGCCTGGAGACCCCAGCCTGGAGTGAGGTGGGGGCAAGCTCGGCACAGCCCCCAGGGGCTCAGCCCCCTCCCCACGCACCCCTTCGTGTTTACCCCTGGTCCCGGCCGGGAGCTGGGCAGCCCCCGTGGGCAGCCTGGGCAGTTTGCCCTCCGGCGTGTGAATGTCCCATTCAGGGCTGTGTGAAATGCATTGGTTCTGGCACATTAGCGGACAGCTGGGATCCTTCCTGGGCAGGCAGGCTGCCGGGATGGGCAGGTTTCACACCTGCCCACGGGCCGTCTGCCTCCACCCGCCGTGCCGGAGCAGGGGGCTCGTCCAGTGGAGAGGGGAGCAGAGCTGGGGACGGAGGCTGCAGGCATGCCAGCAGGGCTGGGCTGCCCCCAGCAGCCCTGCGAGGGGCTGTGACAAGGAGGGGGCCCCAGGATGGCCCTGCAAACCTCTGGGGTCCCCAGCACATGCAATGCACAGCAGGCACTGCACCCATGGCTGAGCTGAGACCCACACAAGGGCAGCCTTAAGCCTCATCCCTCAAGAGCCCGGACCCCAGCGTCATCGCAGCAGCGGGCAGGACAGTGGGACCCCCTTTCCAGTTGCCCCAGGCCCAGGTCGTGCCCCGTATCGCCTGCCAGCCCCCCTCCCCTCATGCTGGTTTGGGGCAGGCTGTGCCAGAGCCAGCTTCCAGGCTGGGGGGCTGCGAGTGCAGCTGGGAGCTGGGGGAGGAAACAGGATCCCAGGGCTAGTGGCCGGCACAGCCCGGTCCTGGATGAAACCCTAGACCCCGGGTTTCCAGTTGCCCCAGGCCCAGGTCGTGCCCCGTATCGCCTGCCAGCCCCCCTCCCCTCATGCTGGTTTGGGGCAGGCTGTGCCAGAGCCAGCTTCCAGGCTGGGGGGCTGCGAGTGCAGCTGGGAGCTGGGGGAGGAAACAGGATCCCAGGGCTAGTGGCCGGCACAGCCCGGTCCTGGATGAAACCCTAGACCCCGGGAGCAGGCTGGCAGGAGGGGGTGAGACAGCTG